ACAAAAAAAAAAACCAAAAAAAAAAAAAAAAAACAAAAAAAAAACCCCCCCCCCCAAAAAAAAAAAAAAAATCAAATGATGTTTTATCATCTTATTGTGCATCTCTTTTTGTTTATGAAATTCAAAAAAATGTGTCAATTCATGCAATTGTCGACAAGATTTTTGTTTGTTGGCCGATGATTAATCTTTACAAAACGAATTCTATTCTTTTCTTTTTTCTTTTCTTTGTTAGTTAGTTAGTTAGTTAGTTGGTCGGTCGGTCGGTTGTTCCGGATACAAAATTCTTATTCATTTAATTTCTTATTGTTTTCAAAGTTTCTTGCACAAAATGTTCATTTCTGATTTCTATCTTTGTTCATTACATAATAATAATAATGTTTCATTTAGTTTTTCTTGAATCCAATGCAAAAGAAATTCAAGAGATCAGAAAAAATAAGGCAAAGATAATTTTGGGGATGCAATCAATTTTTTTTTCGGTTGTTGTTATCGTTTTGTTTGTTGCTGTGAGAAAAGTAAAAAAAAAAATATTCTTAACCCGTTGATCGTTATGGGGAATGCAATTATTTTACTTTATTTTTTTGTTGTTTGTTGAAAAAGAAATTAATAAAATTAATAAAAAAAAATATTAAAATTAACACTTACAGTTCACGAAGATAAAGACCGGCAAATGCAAATTCTTCCAAATGTACTAGATTTTTATTTCCTTTTAGGCTTCTATTTGTGAGAAAAAAAAATGATAAAATTTTTTGTTTTTGTTTTTTAAAAAAGTTGAAAAACTTTCTGTCAAACACACAATTGGCAAATAAGAAACTGAAATCAAACTTACAATTTTTCAATTTTTGATCCATAAAATGCATAATTACTAATAAATTCAATCTGATTATATTCAATATTACTGGGCCGTTTTTTTTGTTTGTAAAAAGAAAAATTATAAAAAATTTAAAAAAATAATAATAATTTTTGTAAAGAGTAAAAAAAAATTTACAGGCTTTCAGCATTAATCAAAATGGAACGTTCAGTTATATTCCTTATGCGGCTATTATCAAAATCGCTGTTTCAAAAAAGAGAAAATAATTAATTTTCAAAAAATACTCAAAAAATTCATCAAAAACATAATTACATTGTTGAAATAATTTCATCAACATTTTGTTGTTGCGATAATGATGATTGTTTTGATTGTTGTTGTTGTTGTTGTTTTATTGAATGTTGTCGTATCATTGGTATACGTTCAAGGCCAGAATGTGTTATCTTTCTGTGAAAACCAAAACAGCAGAAAAAATTCATTTGAATAAAAACAAAAAAACCCCGGTTAATTTTTACAAACAAACAAACAATAAAACTATCCGGGATAATCAAACTTACAAATGCATCAATTTATTCATTGTTGAAATACCGATAAAAACACCATCAACAATTGTTTGTAATTTTGGTGCAATTTTTATATAGCTATTTGGAAAACAATTTTTAAAAGAAACGAAAGAAGAAAGAAAATTTTCATTTTTTTCAAAACGATTCAAATTCATTTGTTATGTTGTTTTTGTCATTTGAATCAACAACAACAAAAAAATAAAAATGACAAAAACAATAATCTACGAAAAATATTCTGTGGAAAGAAAAATCACTTACATTGACATAAGATGTGGTAATTGTGAAAATGCCTCCGGTTCTATTGAATATAATTGATGCATTGCTTCCATATATCTTTTTGTTTTTTCGTTTTGTTTTTTTGTTTTCGGTGTAGAAATAGCCATACAAATTTTGATAAATTTGAAAGAAAAAACATTAGTTTATGTTTATGTTTTTAGTTTTTTTTTTGGTAATCGAAAATGAATAATAACTTACATTTCCGTTAGATTTTGATATAGCTGTAGGATACCTTTACGTAATATTTGTATGCCGATACGTTTTAGATGACTTTGGATAGTTAGTGAGTGAATGAGTGAGAGAAAGAAACCAAACATTTGTTTATTCGTCGGTTGGTTTGTTTGTTTCGCCCGGAATCCATATATATACGTTGGCGTCAAAATAGAATCAAGGATGTCCATAGAAAACAAAAAAAAAAGATGAAAGAGAAAAAAACATTAGAAAGATTTACAACAGAAATGGAAAAAACTTTTTTTTTGTTTGGGAATTCAAAAAAATCTTGTTTTTCAACAACAAAAGGAAAACCGGGCGGAAATTTTTCACTGTTAAGAAACTGATGAATCTGGAATGTCGAATGTATGATTCAGAGAAAAAGATAAGAACAGAAAAATTAATGGATCAAAGTTAAATTTTAAGGCAAAAAAGAAAGAAAAAAGATGCCGGATGATATTCATCATATACATTTATCATTATGACGAAATCAGAAACGAAAAAAAAACACTGAGAGAAAATCCCTTTATGTTTATCAATTATTTAATGAAAAAAAAACAAAATGCCAGAACAAACTGAACATTGCAAAATTTGCTGTTGTTTTGCATCATCGATTTTCAGTTTAATTTTTCATCATTTCTCGTTGTTCTTATGGAATCATATTTATCACTGAATCGATTATTCTGTGAACAACTTTAAGGTCAAAGCAACCAGATAATATTAAAAAAAAAAGAACAACCCGATTCAAGATAAGACATTCTATATATATATATTTTTCGTAATCGAACAAGCAAAAAATCAAGCAAGCAAGCAAACTTATATGATGATGTATATTTGATGAATAATTCATTTGAATTATAACAACAACAACAACAACAAGAATCTCAAATCAAATTCAGTTATTATTTATAATTTATATGTATTTTTGAATACAAAAAACCCTCTCTCCAAACAGAAAAAAAAGACTTATGTAACTTGAACATTTTGAAATGTCTCCTTCCTTCTTTTCTTTCTTTATTTCATTGTCAAACATTCAGTTGAGAAAAAAAGTGTCATCAAAGATGATGATAATAAATGTTGTTCAAATACAAATCAAATCAATGAATCAAGTAAATCTTTTTGACCAAAAAAATGTATAATAATCATCATAATTAAACAAATATTACAATATTGATCCTTTAATGGACGATATATTTGTTGTTGTTGTTGTTGTTGTTTTGGCCACCATTGTTTTCGATTATCATCATTTTTTGGTTGTTGTTGTTGTTGTTGCTGCTTCTGTATTAACCGGCGTATTGTTTTTCGACCATGTCCATTATCCATTACATGCTGTTGATGATTCGATGAATTTTTTCGATTATTACGTATTCGTTCCATTGTAATAAATAAAATTTTTTTACGTTGTCTATTTAATGTTTGAAATAATAAACGTAATTCATAATAAACATTATCTATTTGTATTGGATCCAATAATGTTAATAAACAATATAACCAATGACCAATATTTGATGGATTTCTTTGTTGTTGTTCATTATTATAATCATCATTATTATTATTATAACGATAATTATGATTAATCCATCGTCTTAAAATACGTAAAACTTTAACAATTTCTAATTGATCTAATTCGGCTAAAAATGTAATCTGTGGCCAATGACCATTACGATAAGCATCATCCATATCCATATTAGTTTCTCGATATTGTTGTTGCTGTTGATGATGATGATACTGATGTTGATATTGTTTTGAATTATCATCCAAACAATCATCATTATCAACAACAACAACAACATTATTATCATCAACATCATCAATGTCCATTGTTGATGATGATGATGATGACCATAAAATTTGTTCAATCAATTCAATCGATTGTTTTGATTCAAATAAATCGATTTTTTGATTATAATCATTATTTGTATTATTATCAAAATAAAAATCATCAATATTATCATCATCATCATCATCTAAATCATCATCATCATCATCTTCATCATCACGATCATCATGGTCATCTTCATCATCATAATCATCATCATTATTATTATTCTTATTATTATTATAACCAAAACAATATTGTAACCACCATTGTTTTGTACGTATTGCCATTGCAATATCAAAATTATTATTATTATTATGTTGTTGTTGTTGACCATTTTTATGATTATTATCATTATTATTATTGTTATGATGATAATATGACTGAATATTTATGTTATTACCATTATGGTTGCTGTTGCTATTGTTATTGTGGCTGTGGCTGCTATTATTATTATTACGACGATTATCCTGAATCTGTTCACGATAACATTGAATAAATTTACGTGCATAACGAAAATTATATAAAATTTTTCGTATTAATTTATTACATGTCCATATATTTTTATTATTCATTTCGACATTATTATTCAATGATGATTTTATTGTCGATTCTTCGATATCTGTTGTTGTTGTTGTTGTTGGATGTTTTATCATGCTGATATCATTATTATAGTTGTTGTTATACAAGTTCATTTGTTCATTATTATTTATGAACATTGATTGTGGTTGTTTGGATTTTTCCAATATTTCGGCTTCTGTACCATCACCATAATAATGATGTTGTCGTTGTTGTTGTTGATAATGATCACCACCACCACCATTATGATTATTAAATGATTCATATCTTACTTGTTTCAAATAAAAACGACTAAATATTGTTTGTTCTGATTCACCAAAATAATCATCATTATCATCAACTGGTAATAATTGTTTCATTGGTTCAAAATAATTATTATTATCATTTGTAAAGATATTTTTTTGTAAATCATCATTATTATGATCATCACCTTGTAAATCATAATCATCATCATATTCATAATAATCATGAAACATTTTTACAAATCAAAAAAAAGCAAAAGACAAAAGCAATTCTTCTAAAAGCACAAAAATTTTACCAAAGATTTTTTTTCCACAATGAAATGCAGAAATATTAATAAATGAAACGAATGATGAAAAATACTAATTGAATTATCATTGAATACAATTGAAAAAAAAAGAAATTTTTCTTCTATATTTCTCGAACATTCAATCCGTGAAAATATTTTCACCATTTACAGAAGCTAATTGAATTTCACGATCGAACAACAGCATTTTTGTTTTCTTTTGTTAATGGGGGAGGGTGCGAAAAATGTCACAAATATCAACATCGATTGGTGATAATGGCCATAGAAAATCATTTTTGTTGAATAGAAAATACGTCATCAATAATATCATTATGGTTATGTAATGATGATGATGATGAAATGAAAAAAAAAATTTTTTGTAGAATCCCGAAATAGAAAAATATCATTATAATAAATGGGAAAAACAAAATCTGATCAAAATCCTTTTTCAAACGAAAAATACGAAATCACGCAATCGAAATTCAATCAATTTGATCAATATATGGGGTGTGGTGGTAGTGATGGTGGTGGTGGTGTTTGGCTGTCAATCATTATCAACAGAAATTTTCGTGGCTAAATTCATTAGCGTTGTTAAAAATCTGTAGGAGAATATTCTGAATATTCGAAAGTGAAAAATAGAAATTGAAAATTCAGATAACCGCTTATGGCCATTCACAATGAGATTTTGATTCAAAAAATTGTTTGAGAATTTCAAAGTTTTTTTTATTCGAAAAGTCAAATTGAGCAAAAATAATTTTGGATAATCATCTAAAAAGTCGACGACCAAATTACAAAATTTAATAAATTGAGAAAAAAAAATTTCAGTTTCCCAAATTGAAAAAAGTATCCAAATGATGAAAGTTTTATTTATTTATTTATTTACAAATCTACTTTATGGTTATTACCACCACCACCACAGAAAAAGAAAAAAGAAATTTGGAAATAATAACAACATCAACAATCAAAAAAAGAGATCTTTTGTTTTTGTATTTCGTTTTTGTTTGAAATTCTGGATTGTAAAATGAAAACAAAACAAAACAAAAAATAAATAAATTTAATCATAATGTGTTTTGTTTACCCAAATAATCAAGAGACTTAACCAAAAACACACACANCAGAAGCTAATTGAATTTTACGATCGAACAACAGCATTTTTTTTTCTTTTGTTAATGGGGGAGGGTGCGAAAAATGTCACAAATATCAACATCGATTGGTGATAATGGCCATAGAAAATCATTTTTGTTGAATAGAAAATACGTCATCAATAATATCATTATGGTTATGTAATGATGATGAAATGGAAAAAATATTTTCTAGAGAATCCCGAAATACGAAAAATATCATTATAATAAATGGAAAAAGGAAAAATCTGATCAAAATCCTTTTTCAAACGAAAAAAAAAACAAAAATATCAAAATCACGCAATCGAAATTCAATCAATTTGATCAATATATGGGGTGTGGTGGCGGTGGTGGTGTTTGGTTGGTTGGTTGTCAATCATTATCAAAAAAAATTTTCGTGGCTAAATTCATTAGCGTTGTGATTAAAGGAGAATATTCTGAATATTCGAAAGTGAAAAATAGAAATTGAAAATTCAGATTCGGTTTTTTTTCTCACTTGGTTTTTCTCATTCACAATAAGATTCTGGGTTTAAAATTGATTCGAAAAATTGTTTGATAATTTCAAATTATCATCTAAATCAACGAAAAAAAGTCGACGACCAAATTACAAAATTTAAAAAAATGAAGAAAAAAAATTTCAGTTTCCCAAATTGAAAAAAGTATCCAAATGATGAAAGTTTTTTTCATTTATTTATTTACAAATCTACTTTATGGTTATTACCACCACCACAGAAAAAGAAAAAAAGAAATTTGGAAACAATAACAACATCAACAATCAAAAAAAAAGATCTTTTGTTTTCGTATTTCGTTTTTGTTTGAAATTCTGGATTGTAAAATGAAAACAAAACAAAAAAATAAATAAATTTAATCATAATGTGTTTTGTTTACCCAAATAATCAAGAGACTTAACCAAAAACACACACANATTACAAAATTTAATAAATTGAAAAATTTTCTTTTTTTTCAGCAGTTTTCCAAATTGAAAAAA